GTCCTTGGAGTAAATAAAGGACATGTTTCTCGATTATGGAGGTGATAAAGAGTTCGGCGTAAAGGGTTACGTCGATGCAAGCTTTAACACCTGTCCGAATGACTCTAAGTAGCAAACCGGATACGTATAGTGGCGCAACCATTTGGAATAGCTCCAAGTGGAGCGTGGAAGCAGCATTTACAATATGACATAGAGAATTGTGAAATACATACGGATCTGAATGTTGCAGACCCGTTGACTAAAACCTCTCTCACAAGCAAAACATGATCAAACCCCAGAACTCATTGAGTCTTAATCACATGGTGATGTGAACTAGTTTAATAACACTAGTAAACTCTTTGGATGTTGGTCACATGGCGATGTGACCTGTCAATGTTAATCACATGGCGATGTGAACTAGATTATTGACTCTAGTGCAAGTGGGAGACTGTTGGAAATGTGCCCTAGAGGCAATAATAAATTAGTTATTATTATTATATTTCCTTGTTCATGATAATCGTTTATTATCCATGCTATAATTGTATTGATAGGAAACTCAGATACATGTGTGGGTACATAGAAAACACCAAGTCCCTAGTAACCTTCTAGATGACTAGCTTGTTGATCAATAGATGGTTACGGTTTCCTGACCATGGACATTGGATGTCGTTGATAACAAGATCACATCATTAGGAGAATGATGTGATGGACAAGACCCAATCCTAAGCCTAGCACAAAGATCGTGTAGTTCGTATGCTAAAGTTTTTCTAATGTCAAGTATCATTTCCTTAGACCATGAGATTGTGCAACTCCCGGATACCGTAGGAATGCTTTGGGTGTACCAAACATCACAACGTAACTGGGTGGCTATAAACGTGCACTACAGGTATCTCCGAAAGTGTCTGTTGGGTTGGCACGAATCGAGACTGTGATTTGTCACTCCGGTTGACGGAAAGGTATCTCTGGGCCCACTCGGTAGGACATCATCATAATGTGCACAATGTGACCAAGGGGTTGATCACGGGATGACGTGTTACGGAACGAGTAAAGAGACTTGCCGGTAACGAGATTGAACAAGGTATCGGCATACCGACGATCGAATCTCGGGCAAGTACAATACCGCTAGACAAAGGGAATTGTATACGAGATTGCTTGAATCCTTGACATCGTGGTTCATCCGATGAGATCATCATGGAACATGTGGGAGCCAACATGGGTATCCAGATCCCGCTGTTGGTTATTGGCCAGAGAGCTGTCTCGGTCATGTCTGCATGATTCCCGAACCCGTAGGGTCTACACACTTAAGGTTCGGTGACGCTAGAGTTGTTATGGGAATTGGTGTGCAGTTACCAAATGTTGTTCGGAGTCCCAGATTAGATCCCGGACGTCACAAGGAGTTCCGGAATGGTCCGAAGGTAAAGATTTATATATGGGAAGTCCTATTTTGGCCATCGAAAAATGTTCGTGATTTTTCGGTATTGTACCGGGAAGGTTCTAGAAGGTTCCGGAGTGGTGCCCACTAGAATGGGGGGACCCACATGAACGTGGGTAGTGGCGGAAAGGCCCCACACTCTTGGTAAAGGCGCACCAAGAACCCCCCTTAGAAGGAATAAGATCATATCCCGAAGGGATAAGATCAAGATCCCTAAAAAGGGGGGATAACAATCAGTGGGGAAGGAAATGATGGGATTTCGTTCCTCCCACCTTTGCCAACGCCCCAATGGACTTGGAGGGCAAGAAACCAGCCCCCTCCACCCCTATATATAGTGGGGAGGCGCATGGGAGCTTCACCCAAGCCCCTGGCGCAGCCCTCTCCCTCCCCAACACCTCCTCCGTAGTAGTAGTGCTTGGCGAAGCCCTGCCGAAGAACTACAAGCTCCACCACCACGTCGTCGTGCTGCCGGAGCTCTCCCTCAACTTCTCCTCTCCCCTTGCTGGATCAAGAAGGAGGAGACGTCCCCGGGCTGTACATGTGTTGAACGCGGAGGTGTCGTCCGTTCGGCACTAGGATCTCCGGTGATTTGGATCACGATGAGTACGACTCCTTCAACCCCGTTCTCTTGAACGCTTCCGCTTAGCGATCTACAAGGGTATGTAGATGCACTCCCCTCTCTTTTGTTGTTGGTTTCTCCATAGATAGATCTTGGTGACTCATAGGAAATTTTTGAATTTCTGCTACGTTCCCCAACAGGGGCACCCCATGGAGACACAACAATTGATCCCTTGGATCTCTTAGCCGTGTGCGGTGCCCCTCTCCACCATAGTCTACCTCGATAATATCGTAGTGGTGCTTAGGCGAAGCCCTGCGTCGGTAGAATATCATCATCGTTAACACGTCGTCGTGCTGACAGAACTCTCCCTCAAAGCTCGCCTGGATCGGAGTTCGAGGGACGTCATCGAGCTGAACGTGTGCAAGAACTCGGAGGTGCCGTGCGTTCGGTACTTGATCGATCGGATCGTGAAGACGTACGACTACATCAACCGCGTTGTGCTAACACTTCCGCTTTCGGTCTACGAGGGTACGTGGACACACTCTCCCCTCTCGTTACTATGCATCACCATGATCCTGTGTGTGCGTAGGAAAATTTTGAAATTACTATGTTTCCCAACAATCCGCCGCCGTCGTCGACCCTCCCTTCCCCCCACGCCTCTACTTCGACCCCGGCGCAACCACGCGGCCTCTCTTCCGACCCAGCGGTCATGTGCGCCGAGGCGACCCGTCAGGGCCAACCGCCATCCGCGCGTCGGCCTACCCATCGCCCTGCGTCGGCCGTCTCCGCCATGCTCCGACCGGGACTCCTGCATCGCCCCGACCCTATGGCCTCGCGCTATACGGCTACCCATCATAGCCACCGCTCGCGCCGGCCCACCCATCGATCCACGCCACCCGCCTCCGCCGCGTATGCACGGCGGCCCTGCGATCTGCCTCGCCGACCTCATCCCCGGCTGCGTCAAGCTCGTCGGTTGGCTCAGCTCGGGCGCCGCTGCTACTTGGTCGCTCGAGCCTCGCTGCCCGGGCGCCGGCGTTGTTTTAGCATCGTGGGTGCCGGCGGTGACGCGCTTTTCCGCACGTCATCCTACGTCGTCCGTCATCGTCGGCCGCATTTTGGACTCCGCCGCCACCCCACCTTCTTCAAGCGACGTCCCCTACCTCCTGCACGATCGGCTTGATCACCCGCTCGCCGCCGTGATCCGCCTCATATACGCCACGCGATCGACCTGGCCTGTCGGTTGCGCGCGCCTCCACAAGTCCCATGAAGATCGTCCCCGAGTTCAACACGTCCTTCACCGATCGAGCATCGGGCTGCAGCGCTGCCATCCTGTGGTTCTCCTTGCAGCTGCATCGACCTGCGTGCTGCCACTGCGTCGCCCCATCGGGTCGTAGCGAGCGTGGCACGCGGTCTCTGCGATCTCCCGAGGTCGTCCCTGTGGCTACACTGACCCGGGCTCCGCCGCTGCATCGCCCTGTCAGGCCGTAGCGCCACGACCCGCGGTCCCCGCCGCCGCCCCGAGGTCTTCCCGACATCGCCCTTACCAGACTGCTGCCGCCGCATCCCCCCCCTTTTGGCCGTAGCACGGCGGCCCGCGGTCCACTCCGCCGTCCCCGTGCGTCGACTTCCCGTGGTATGCGACACGCCGCATCCCTTGGCGCGGGAACGCCACCGTCCACGCCAGTCTTCGTCACGTTCTCGGGTTCCTCGCCTACTTCGAGCATCTTCGTCACGCTCCTAACCTAGCCGCCGCCGCTGCCATCAGGTCGCCGTCGCCGCTCTTCTTTGGTCGTCGTCGCCGCTACCCTCGCAGCCGCCACCGTCGCCCGTCCACCTGCTTCGTCTTCATCCAGCACCAGCGCGTCGCCATCGTCGACGTCATCTACCCCGACCACTTCATCTACTCCCACAATCGCGCACGACATCGGCCTCGCGCCGATTGGCGCCGCCATCATCGTCGAGTCCTTCTCTGCTAGCCTCTCCGACTTCTCCGACATGGCGTACAGCTTGTGCAGGACCCAGTCTACACATGACCGGTGTTGGCAACAACGATGCGTGCCTTCGTCCACGACGTGTCCACGGGCCTGGCAAGCCTGGTGCGGCGCTTCGTCAACTTCATCTTCGTCCGTCTACGCATGCCCGATGCTGGCAACACCGATGCGTGCCTTCGTCCACGATGTGTCCCCGGGTTTGGCAACCCCGGCACGATGAGTCGTCAACGACATCTTCTTCTCGGCGCACCACTACTCGCACCCATGACTGACTCGGCGCTTCCTTGCGCCCGCGGCTCCACTGAGACTTCCTCAACACCGGCCACCCCCACCCCGACTCGACATCGATCGCAACATACTTCACACGGCTATCTCGACCACGGCTCCACCACACACGCTCTCGGCTACCTCGACAAACGGCACAAAGGGCTACCGCTTGCTTGAGAAACCTCGTCGGTTCCCGCTCCAACCACTCATCTAATCTTGCTGATGCAGTGTCAGTTGCCCACTTGAGTTAGTTTGGGAATGGTCCTTTCTAGAAAACTCTGCAAAACTCTCAAACATAAAAACGACAGTGACGGTTCTAAAACTTCTACAGCTTCATCTCTGGCGACATATGTATGTAAAACTGACCTAGCTTTTTGAAAACAACACATTTGCTCTATCAATCAAAAGAAAGGAAAAAGAAACACAGTTGACATGGGTGGTGTGGTTCCTATCAGCAATGAAGTATAGCACACAAAATTAGGTCCGACTGAACAAAGATCACCACACAACAACAGTGGCAGGAATTCCTAGGATCGTAACTCCTGTTCATAGCCCTGCTCACGTAAACCACTGGCATAAATCTTCGGAGCTGCTGAAATATATTCGGTCGTATCAGAATTACAGGACGGCGAAAGCGAAGGGGAGGATGGTTTAAGCATTTACAGGCTGACAGAAAGAAGGCACGCTACACAGTCCAGATGGGAACACACGACGTCGATTCGCAACTACCAGGCGAGAGGTTCATCACACAATACGAGTTGCTGCAGGATTATTAAGCAAGGGTGTCGTAGTCCCGATCCCGCTCCTCCGAGCCGAGCGCGACAAGCACGTAGACCGCGTAGATGATGCCGGGGATGTAGCCCAGGATGGTGAGCAGCAGGCAGATGCAGAACTCCATCTGTTCAAGACAGAAAGGATGACCCAATACTGTTAGTATGCTATCAGGATCGAGAAAAAACAATAGCACTGAACTGCTCCTTCTGCGCCACACAGAACGTGCTTGCGCATCACCTATCCATTCCAGGATCCAAGATTAATCCAGTGAATCATCGGAGCAACTTGCTCTTCTTACGAGGAACAGATTGTAGTGCTTAGACAAATTTACCGTGCCGGCTATGCACATAACTTCTACTCCCTCCGTTCCTACATATAAGTCTTTTTAGAGATTTCAATATGGACTACATACGGAGCAAAATGAGTGAATCTACACTCTAAACCACGTCTATATACATCCGTATGTAGTCCATAGTGAAATCTCTAAAAAGACTTATATTTAGGAATGGAGGGGGTAGTATAAATAAACAATGGGGTCGAATATAACCACTTGAAGCGCAATACAATGTAGTAAGAACGGAGAGAGGGTAATCCCAGGCCCCCAGCAGATGGCGTGGTTTTGCTTTCTATATAAAGCGGGACTGAGAGGAGAGGCCTTTTCTCTAAACAAAATTCAGACATTAGCGACATGCACCGTACATATTATCCTCCTACTTAGACGACGACTGAACCCACAAATGGACTGAATGCCTTCTTGAACGCAGCTACTCAAAAAACGTGTAAAACAGATTCAATCTGCTCTCATTGGCATGGCAGCAACCAGCAGGGCCTGCATAATTCCATAGCTAGAGCATAAGTAAAACATACCAGCCCTGAACCATACAGTAGTATGTTAATACCTGCAATACTAGGCGTCACCTGCAGGTCATTTGCAGGTCTAAAACACCGAGGAAACCGCAGGCCCAAGCTAGAGCAATGCTATGCTACGCGTCACCGACAGGAAATCGCGCGAGTTCAGGGGACCTCGCGATCGCAGCCAAGGGGAACCGCCGCCCAAATATGTCTCGAACCACCGGTCGGACGGTCGCCTGACTCGCCTGCTACTCGGGCGGCGGCTGCCAGCGCGCAAGCCCGCCCGACCGCAAAGTTCGCGTTTGGGAACCTACCGGGTCGCGTGGATCCAGCCAGTCGAGGAGGGTAGCAGGGGGGAGGGGAAGAGGGGGTGGATTGCTTACGCTGCAGCAGCCGTAGTGGAGGAAGACACCGAGCGGCGGCAGGATGATGGCGAGCAGGATCTCCAGGAAGGTGCAGCTCCGGGACGCCATCGGGGATGGAGATCTCGGATCTGATCGGATCGAATCGGGGGAAATCTCTCTCTTGCTCTGGTCCGGGGGTTGGGTTGGGGAAGGAAGGACGGAGAGGATGATGTGATTACTTCGCGTCGCGCGGAGACTTTACAGACTTGTGGTGCTGGCTGGGGCTGGCCGGGCCGACACGCCACGCGGCTCGACGGGGAAACGCCGCAGCGGCCTCAGGGCATCTCCGGACCCGCCCCCAACAGGCCTTTCCCAGGCGATTCTGCCGCACCGACGTCAAAAAAAGGCATCAGTCGCGCCTCCAGAAACCCGTTTTTTGCCGATTCGGGCCAAAACTGTTGTCGGCGGACCCAGGCCGAACCCGGCGCCCTGGGGGGCGCTTGGGGAGCCGGCACAAGCGAAAAAGGCGCGTGGGCCCGCCCTGGAGGCGACCCGAGGGCCTTTTCCCGCCGTTTCTTGACGCTTTTTCCTCGCATCTCTCCCGCTCGCTTGACTTCCTCCCGCCATTCTCTCCCTTTCTCCGCCAAACCCCCTCCAGCTCGCCACGAAGAAGTACGCCATGCCGCCGAAGAAGTGCGCCATGCCGCGCGCGGCGGCAACCGCGATTGGCGCCGTGGCCCAGCCGAAGCAGAGGAAGCCGAGGGCGCCGCCATCGAAGCCACCGGGCCTGTCGAACGCCGAGTGGAGGGTGGAAGTTCAGCGGCGCGAAGCAGTCACCGTCGACAGGCGGAACATGGCCATAGCCAAGAAGGCCCGCGACAACGCGGCGCGCGCAGCGGCGTCTTCCTCATCGGTCGACCAGGCGGGGATGAATCCACCCGTCGTCAGCCACGCCCAGTACGCGCCCTGGGGACAGCACGGCGCCGGATCTCCATGGGGTTCATCGTCGCCCGGCTACGCCGACGGCGACGCGCACGGTGGGTTCAACCCAAACGTGACCTTCCCTCATGGTCACCCCGCTACGCGCACGCCCTCGCCCGCCTTCGTCGGCGTGCAGTACCCTTCATACAACTACTCGCCGCCCACCGCCTACGCGTCCACACCGACGCCCCATCTCTATCGTGGACCGCTACCCTTCTCACACCTCGGCGACGCCGACGACACGGGAGCCGACATGGACGACATCATCGCGACAGGATCGACCGCGGCCGTTGCGTCTCCCGGGTTCGCCACCCAGGACGAGGTAGTGGACCTCAGCGGCGACATGGAGGCCGAGCTCAGCTACGTCTACGGCGATGACGCGCAGGAACCCGAGGAGGAGGAGGAGGAAGACGGGGAGGAGGAGGAGGAGGAGGAGCCGGCTCCTGTTCCGACGAAGGGGCGCCAGAAGAAGAAGAAGCGGACAGCTAGGTCAGGCGAACCGCGCATCAAGTGGACGTCCAAGGAAGAGGAATGCCTCGCCGAAGCATGGAAAGTCGTTTGCCTCGACCCGACCACCGGCGCGAACCAGAGCTTGGAGACGTACTGGGACCGCATACAGGCCGAGTTCGACGAGCGGAAGCTCGTCGACCCCTACTTCAAAGGCGTCTACATGCAGCGCGGCTCCAAGGCGATGGCGAACCATTGGGGGCGTATCCAGTTGGCGTGCAACAAATGGCATGGAATCGTCGAGGAGGTCGCGGCTCGCCCGGAGAGCGGCGCCAGCGTTGAGGATCAGGTACGCACGCCGTTCGCCCGCATATCTTCGTCCCCTACGCCCGCCGCCCGCCAACTGTTCGTCCATTCACGCAGCTGCTGCGTATGTTTGCCATGTATCGGGGCGACAACCAAGACGCCGACTTCAAGCACCTCCACGTCTACAAGCGCATTGATAAATGCGAAAAGTGAGCAGAAGTCCGACGTGCCCTCGACAAGGCCAAGGAGACATACAAGCCGGACGCGACGACTCCGGGCGCGTCAGAGGGGCGGCCGGACGGCCACAAATGGCAAAGAAAGGGAAAAGCGCTGACGCGGCAACCGCGCAAGTGCAGGAGTCCATCGAGCATTGCCTCGCCGACGCCCAGGCCCGGGCCGTCCTACGCGAAGAGAAGACCGAGGCACAGTGGTCGTCGCTAATGAAGAACAACGCCATCAAGCTCGACCTGCTCCGGACGAACGTCGCCGTGAAGAAGAGGAACACCGACATGGCTTTTCTGATGGGCGGGGCGGACATGCTCTAGAGCAACGACGAGAAGCTCAAGGCGTGGTACCTGGCGCAGCGCGGCCTCATCCTGAACGAGCTACCGACGGCAACGCCGACGACGCCCACGACCACACGGACGCCAAGCCCGAACGACGCCTCTACATCGCCGCCCAGCAGTGCCGAAGCCGCGCCGACGCAGCCCAGCACCGAAGCAGCTCCGACACCGACGAGCCCGCGCACGCCGACTCCGCCAACGCCTGGAGCCGACCCCGCCGAGTGAATCGTTGTGCATGCGAACTTGCGGCGGCGGCGCTCTGTTTTTTGTAACGCCAGACTACGTCCGATCGCCGGATTTGCGGCGTCTTTTGAGAGCGGGAACGACCAAGTTTAAATTTCCCGCATCCTGGGGCCGGCGCGTGAGGGCGTGACTGGGAGCTAGGTCGCCCCCAGAGGCCGAACTAGCGCCGGCACGCCCCCAGGCAGCTCTATTTAGGCGCCCTGGGGGGGCCGAACGGCTGGAGATGCCCTCAGGTGCCACACGCGGTTTATCCTGGGGAAAACATTCGCCAGGTAGAAACTGGCAGCGAAGCGCCCTAACTGCCACACGATCTTGATCCTATGGTGCAGTTTGGATGACTTTTTTACCCTCAAAATTACAGTAATGTCATGGCAATTTGTCACGGCCCGGAAATGATGTGACTTACTAAGACTCAAAGCTCAGGGCCGGGTCATACTCATATCGGGTCTCAACAGTGGGGAATATTCCCAACAGGTGTAATGTCGGATGTAGACTGTATTCGGGGTACTTTGTGTAATGATGTGTTATGATCTATATAGTGTTGTTTTCTCTCAATAAAAATAAGTTATATTGTATATATAAATTATGGCACCGCCAAAACTAAGATCCTTGGCGCGCCATTGTGCGGGTGCGATATATTTGTGACTACGGCTAAAAGATGTGATGTCACGCATCTAACAGCTATCGAGGTGACTCATAGCTCCTAGCTATCAGTCGTCTGATAACTTTCAACTACTAGTCGGCTAATTCCTAGCAGCTTCACTTGAAATTTCAAACATTATAATATATGTGAAATTATATGAATTAGGCATCTCTTCCAAGTTTATGCCTTCCTAGCTAGCTCAATGTTGAGTCTATCAGTCGACCTGTTGTGTCTCATAGGTGGATTTCCACATGTATCACCCATTGTTACTTGTTGCGTCTTTCCTTCAACGGTGAACAACTTGCAAATGTGGCAGAGACCCACCCTTCAGCCATTGTGTATGCGCCAGAAAATTAAGGGGCATTTCCTAAATGGTGTCTTATGCGCCTGTTACTAGTGTTCCTGCAATCAAGCATACACCACTGTCAGCGTTCTGGGAACGGGGGTCCCCAGACTTGCTTGCCTGCGGTGTGCGGCCTGGCTCAAAGGGGGCCCAGCATGGCCCATCTTCATCAACACAAGCTCAAGACCCTCGCGAGGGGCCAAGCCTCGCGGGGCGGACGACAAGGAGCTTCCTCAGGCACGGCCTCGTCAGGCTGGCTCACGAGGAGGCGGAGAGTTCAAGGCGGGGTACCTCGCGAGGTGCCCATGACGCAAGCCATGACGACCAAGGGCGCCAGCCGGGCGCCAGCCGGGCGCCAGCCCGCGCAGTGTCCTTCTTTCCTCTTTGGTGCAAGGGGAGCAAGCGCAGGCGAGAGCATTAAGCAAAGGCATCCATTTTGGTGCAACAAGACCAAGACCAGTCCAACGGCAGGATGGAGGTCAACGTGGAGCCCAAGTCAACGTCACCACCAGAGCCTTTGACAGACGAGGACCAACTTTAGTCAGGATAAGTGTACTAGATGTTCCCCTTCAAATTGGCCAATTGTTGGCGCCCTTCCCGCTTAATATTTGGGAAGAGGCCCAGGGCCTTCGCCTATAAATAGGACTAGCCACCCACAGGGTAGAGAGATCGGCATAGGAAGCGGAAGATAAGATAGGCATCTAGAATCAAACCTTCAAAACGGACAACACCACCACAAGGACAGACCCTCGCGAGGTTATTCTTCCTTGTATTGTTCATCATCAACCCAAGAGGCAATCCACCACGCCACACACTGGAGTAGGGTATTACACTACAATGGTGGCCTGAACCAGTATAAATCATGTGTCTCTTGTGTTGTTCTTCTCGTAGTTTAGATCATAGCGATTCGGCGAAGAACAGGTAGGTAGAAGGCGAAACCTCCGCGCGCACCCCAGTGTTCGAACCTCAAGGGTCTGCCTGAACCCGAAATCCGACATTTGGCGCGCCAGGTAGGGGTGCTCCGGAATTCGTCTTCCGTCGGCCTGCTCTTCTTCGACCGTCGCGGCCATGTCTGACGCACGCCGGGTTCGCGCCGAGCGCCGAGCCGCCCTCGCTTCCCGCGTCGCCCAGACGGCTCCCGTCGGCGGGCGCCCTCGTCGTTCCCCGTCGCCTGCCGTCAACGCCGCCACCGGCCCGGCGGGGAACGAGCAGCAAGCATCGTCCCAGCACCCGTCCATGAGGCGAGACGGCCGCACCGCTACGCCCTCGCTCACCCCCGCTGGTTCTTCATCCCGCGTGCCCCGCGCGGCCATGGAGGCTCGAGCTGCGCTCATCGCGGCAAACGAGCTCCTGCGCTACCGCCCAGTCGACGAGTCTACGAAGAATAGCTCGATCGAGTCACCGAACTCGTCTGCGCCGCTGGGGGCTCCCCCGCGCCAACTTTCTCGCTCCACCGTGCCCCGCCATGCGCGGGCAATGAAGCTCCTGGGGCGCCTCAGCCGCCTCCCCCTCAAGAAGGCGCCCTGGCTCCAAGGCACGCGGCCCTTGGGCGGAACCCGCCCTGTCAGGAACCAGCGCGGCAGGAGCAGAGCTGCCAAGAGGT